GAAACCATTAAGGTGGGGTCCTAATCCAATATGATTAGCGTCCTTTTAAGAGGAGGAAGAGACACCAAGGGTGTGTGTAAACAGAGGGACAACATAAAGACAAAGCCCGAGAGGATGACCCTGAACAGATGTCTCAGAGAAACCAACTCTTCCACACCTTGGACCTAAACTCCACCTTGATTTTGGATTTCCAGCACTTGATCTTGAATTTGTAACTCAAAAGTTCTAGTTTTAGAACTGTGAGAAGATGAATTTCTGTTAAGTCTCTCAGACTATGCCTTTTTGTTATAGAAGCCCTTGCAAACCCCTTCATTAATAAACTCAATCATCATGCTGTACGCCAGGCACTAAGTTCTTTATAAACATTTAAACATTCAAACACCTTTCTACCAGTGTCAGTGAACTATGATGGCTCCATTTCTGAAGAGCGAGGAAGGAAGAAAAGAGTATCTCCTCCTCAAAGAACAACTCACAACTGTAGAGTTGGGGAAAGTATCCTTCTTAAGAGACAAGTATCAAGACGTGAAGATGGTGTTTATCACTAGTAATAACAATAGTAAAATCTTAGCCAACATTAACTGAACACTTATTGTACATAGGTGAGTGTCAGGCATATTATAAGAATTCTTTCTCATTTTCCCCCACAGCAACCTTAAAAGGTAGGAATAGTTCATTCCCTTTATTTACAGAGTTTGGGAAGGGCAAGCTAGTTATTCAGTCAGTACAGAGAATCAGGATTAAGACCCAGATCGGTCTGATTTCAGTATCCTGCACATTGCCTAAGGAAGTAGCTGGGGACAGGTGGTGAGTTTTGAATGGGAGCATGAATTTGTCCTTGATGGAGGAGGTCATTGGAAGCAGCAATCTTTGAAAAGAAAAGGTAGTAGGGAGAATTTAACAGTCTTAATTTAGCTTCTCTTATAGGCCAGGCATTAAGCTTTGAACTTAGAACCAACAGTTCTGAGAAACAAAAATTCTTGCATTTTTTGTTATGGACATCAAAACTGAACTTCAGGGAAGCTAAAAGATCTGACCAAGGCTCAAGGAAGTGGTGGAACTGGAGTGACTAATCCTGCATCTGCCCAACTCCTCTGCACCCTCCTCTGCACCTGCATTTCTGACTGCCAAAGAATGCATGAAGGCCTCCAAGCTCTGAACGGGCAAGTTATATGTCACACCAGTCTCTACCAAGATGCAGCCTCAAACATGACCAGAGCAACCCTGCCCAAGAATGTTTCAAGGGGCCTCAGTTTTCTATGATGTTCCACGGAAAAAGTCTGATGGTCAATAAAGTTTGCAAGTGCTGCCCATTATCCTTGTCTTGCTTCAGAAATGCAGTGCACAGCAGCAGATTCTAAAGATGTTGAGAAGATCTACAGTTAAAAAAAAAAATCTGTTTCCTTCATTTGGCTGAAGATTTCCTCAATTTATTTGGATCACATTGGTCAGTTAATATACTGTGCAGCACCCTTTTAGAGATGCTGCAATGCAGGACTAAACACGGGGAAAGAAAGGCAGGCTGGGGCTACTTTCTGAAACTAACCAAAATGCAGACTTTTTTTTTTTTTATAACTTAAGAAGGATCAAACCCTTTGTTGTTTACATTTACTTTGCTTTCTACTGAGAGAACAATTGAAAAACAAAACAAAGTAAAAAATAAATAAAAATGATAGGCAATAAATCAGAGGAGGGAAGGGCTATTTACATTCCCAAACCTCTTAGCTCATCCTGCACCTTCTATCTTCCAGGCCAACCCCACCCCAACCCCATTCCATTCTCCACCCTCTTGCCCCAGGGCTGTTCTCCAGCTAGACACAAGTAGTGGCCACCACAGCTTGCAATGCCTCCTGCCCCTAACCCTTACAGCACAGACATGGTGACAGAGAGGCATCAAAGGTCTACCCAGGGCAACCCGAGCTGACAGATTTCAGGGAAACCCAAGAAGCTGCCCGAGTCAATCATCTCTCTGCCACTCCCATGGGGTGGGGGAGGAAGACTGCCAACATTTCCTTTCAAATTTATGGGTGCTGTGCTTCTTCTATTTCTCTTTCTGCTTGTTTTCTAAAATGAAGATGCAGCACTTGCAAGTTAAAGAACAGAAGGAGAAGGGACAGGAGGAGGAGGAAGAGGGAAAGATGAAGGAGGGAGAGAACAAAAGGAGGGAAAGAGTGGAGGAGGAGGAGGAGGAGAACTCCCCCTCCAGAGAATGCTCTGCAGGAGCTAGACTAAGAAAACCTACCAGCAGCGCCCCAGCCCGTCTGGTGTAAATTCTGAGCCGCAGGGTCCCCCCCTCAGCCACCCCTTAACCAAAGCCACCCAGATGCTCGGGCACCAGGCGCAATGCACTCTCTCCTTACCCACTCGAAAGATCAGATCGTCCTCGATGGGGTTCTCTTTTCGCTTCCCGGTGCTGTACATGCTCGCAGGTCTTTTCACTGCTTTCTGCTTCACGTGGCCGCTCCCTGGGGACTTGACGCGCCGCTTCACGCCTTCGGTGGTGGGCGACACGTCGGCGGACCGGATCACCTTCAGCTTAAACGGGCTGCCTCGTATGTGCTGGTCGTAGAGTCTCAGAGACAGGGTGAAGTCGCCTTCCTTCTGGACCGTGTACAAAAATTCGTAGGTGCCGTTTTTGTTGTCCAGGATCTCCCCGTCCGCCACGCTGCCGTCGGGGGTGCTCAGCTCAGCCGTGAGGTAGGCATTGCCGGTTTTGCACAGCTCGCCGTCTTTGTCCTTGGTCGTTATGGTAACGGACATGGGCTGCCCGATGATGGTCTGCCGCAGCCCCTCGCCCGTGGCCACCGTCTCGGAGGCCACCGCGTTGGTGGTCAGAATGGTCCCGAGGTTGTGGATGGACTTCTTGAGCCCCTCGGTTTCCACGATGAAGTCCAGCTGATCGTTTTCACGCGGGTGCAGGGGGAAATCTTGGTCGGCCAGTTCGTTCAGCTTCTCGCTCATCTGCTTCTTCACCAGCAGCACCTCCGTTTCCGTGCCATGGTTGAGGGCCTGCGCGGTGAAGTTGCTGCAGCTCTTGATGCTCTCCTGCCCCTGGAGCAGAGTATCCAGCTGCGACTGCAGCACCTGCCGGGAAACAGGGCTGGTGAGCTCTGTCTGTGGGACTCCTGCCAGGCACGCTGGGGCACTGCCCTCCTTCTGCAAGAACCTTGCTCTACACCTGCCCACACAGAGCGAGCGGCCTTTTAACCCAGTGAACCCAGTTCTAATGCAGAATCCTAAATTGCATTCCCAATACCTTCTGGAGATTTCCCTTTGGCCTCCCCCTGCCTCATCACCCACCTATGTATGGCTTGGATCACGCCTTTAGATAACAGAAACCAAGAGCGTGGCAAACAAATTGCCACGTTGGACACCTAAAATATGTATTATTCAGTATCTTTCCTGAATGTTCAAAACTCCCCCATTGCCTTGCAAAGGGACAGAAACCAAACAGATGAAAAGCCTCCACAACTGAACATCAGAAGCCTTTCCTCCTTGCTTTTGTGAACAGACATGCAGAGTTAAACAAAGAATGCAGGCAGGGTTCACTCTGAAGTTGACTAACAGGTTGGTGTGGATGAGACGGCAATTAAGGGACGATTCCACATTATAATTAAGGAAGGAAAACAATCCAGTTTAACCCTAAACCCTGAAAGAATTACATGATACTCAACCTCGCCTTCTGTCAAATTATAAATTGCTACTTAAGGTCACAGAATTAAACAGTTCTGCTGCAAACAGGAAAGAAAAAAAAAAGAAAGAAAGAAAGAAAGAAAAGCTAGATATTCTGTTGGATGAAAATTTAGTTACTATACAGTGGGGGACATTGATGGACCCATTTGGGTCCCCTTTGTTGCTGTCAGTGACACAGCCAGTGCTGTGAAGTGTCCAATACCACGTCTCTTTCAGAATACCTATGAGAACATGGAGTCTTACTTTGTGTTTGAGGCCATAGTTGACCTCCAGTTCCATCAGCAGCACGCTCTTGCGCACATTTAACGTCTTCTGGAGCTCATCGAAGGTGGAATGGATGTCATCCACGATGCTGGCCTTTTGGTTGGTTAACTGATGGATGATTTCTGAGATGAACTGAAGAGCAGAATCTATTTCTGGGAGCCTGGAGATGGTTGTTAAAGATTATTATTTAACATCACTCTGGAAGTGGTCCAAAGTCTCTCCAAACACTCTGTTCTATCAAAACAACAAAATATTTTTCCTATCCTTTCATCATCTTTAAAAAATAATAATGGAATAATGGAGTGAATGAAAGTTTGAGGTTCCACATCTATTTCAATCTACCTTCTAATTTTAATAATTGATGGTACCAAGACTTGAAGGTCAAAGAAAAAGAAAAAAAAAGACCTGAAGGCCTTTGAAAAGCAATTATGACCAGATAATTCTTTGTTCAGGGGATTGTTCTGGGCATTGCAGGATGTTTAATAGCATCCTGTCTTCTCCCAGAAGGCAACAGCATCCCTCCACACAGTTGTGATAGCAAAAATGTCTTCATACATTGCCAAATGTACCCTGGGGAAACATAATCACCAGAACAGAGTCACTGTTCTAAATATATAGCTGCACCATTTTCCCCAACCACATGAAAACTTATCTAAATTCAGTTTCCTGGGAAGGTCTCATAAGTTCCCAAGTTCTTGTCATTAGTATAGAATAACGACAGTGTTCTCACTCCAACTATTGACCATTGACTATCAGCAAGAGATCTACTATTTTGACTGCTTTTCAACTGGCTGTTAAAAGTTTCTGGCTCCTGTCTTTCTCACAGCTACTCTACTCCTCATGTTCGTGCCAAAGAAAGAAACGGAAAGCAGGAACACACAAGGGAAATTGAGCATTCACTGCTCAGCACCATTTGGTAGGGCTCACACAGAGAGGAGCCAGTGGGCCTAAGTCTCTGTGTCCAGGACAACAGCTCAGGAGCTCCTCAGAGGGCCCAGTCTGAGGCATGGATTTCAGAGATCTCCTGAGAGCATGTTCCTTGAATGCACTTTCATTCATCTCATCTTCCTAAGAGACTCTGACAAAAAATGCTGCGACTCCTCGTATCAGGCAGCTGGAGGTTTGCCAAGGGGCAGGGAAGCCTTCACCACTCACTGGTTTATGATGACAGACCCATCATCACAGGAAAATCTAGTTACGACTGAGATCTCGAAGAGTCCCATGAACGCATTATCGCACTGAGACCACAGACCATGGAGCCAGGCCTTGGGCACGGAACAGGCCCCGGCTGGGAGCCTGTGGAGGGAAGCCGCACCTTTTGTTGACAGCGTCCAGCTGGACCTGGAGTGAGGCCTTGTGCTGCTCCACCACGTCCTTGAGGGGGACCGTGGGGTGCTCTGCGTGCTCGCCCTCAGTGCACTCCCGACACATGGCGGTCTCACAGGACTGGCAGTAAAATTCCATCACCTGTGGGTTACACGAGAAAAGTTCCAAGTTCATGGCCACTGGTTGAGTGCTCACTCTGCAGGAATCAGTTCTCTCACTTAATTCTCCCACCCACCCCACACTGTTGGCAGTATTATGTCCAGCTTCATGGCAGAGAAGGAAGGATAAACTTGTTTTTGAGCATTGAGGATTGAACCAAGAACAGTTTAACACTGAGCTACATCCCCAGTCCTTTTTTAAAACTTTGTTTTGAGACAGGGTCTTGTTAAGTTACTTTGGGCCTTGCTAAACTGCTGAGGCTAGCCTCAAACTTGTGATCCTCCTGCCTCAGCTCCTGAGTCGCTGAGATTACAAGTGTGTGCCACTGTGCCTAGCTGGAAGAATAAACTTTCATGTGACATGTCACAAACAAGGTGGGTCCAACTCCAAAGCTACTGCTGTGGCCATAAAATCAGATTTTTGGTAGCTATTTTCTAAGGCAGAACTGTGTAGGATTATTGTTTTAAAGCCTTGTGGTCTTGGACTTCTTTATGCTCTTTATAAATTATTGAGAACTCCTTAAGAACCTTTGGGTATATGGGTTATGTCTACAGATATTTGCGATGTTAAAAATTAAAACTGAAGCCAGGCATGGTGGCACATGATTGTAATCCCAGTGACCCCAGAAAGACTGCAAGATAAAAGCGCAGCCTCAGCAATTTATTGAGACCCCTTAATTGCATGCCTGTAATCCCAGCAGCTTGGGAGGCTGAGGTAGGAGGATTGCAAGTTCAAAGCCAGCCTCAGCAAAAAATCGAGACCCAAAGCAACTCAGTGAGACCCTGTCTCTGCATAAAATTTTAAAAAGGGCTGGGGATGTGGCTCAATGGTTAAGTGTCCCTGAGTTCAATTCCTATTTCCAAAAAATAAATAAATAAATAAAGCTGAGAAAATTTTTAAAGTATTAATTTATTAGAAGGTCATTTAAACATTGATGTGAATGATATAGTTTGTGAAAAACAACTATATTTGCAAACAAACAAACAAACAAACCCTGAGAATAGCATTGTTGCCCAGTTTTTGAAATCTCTGCAGCACCTGGCTTAACAGAAGACTGTTGGCTTCTCATGATTGCTTTTGCATTCATTTTGTTGGGACAGCACATAGCCTACAGCCTTTCCAAGGTACCACAGTACATTCTTGAGAGAATGAGAGCAAAAAAAGATATCTTCATATTGCTGTATTGTGAATACAGCATTGACCTTGTGGACCTCTGGAAAGGGTCTTGGAACCCACAAAGGTTCCTGAAGCGCACTTTGCAAATCGCTACTATTTGGGTCAGAGATAAGCTGAACTGAGCCGTCTGCATTTGGCTCTCCCATTTACTTTGCTGAATGACCTTAAGCAAAAAATTACTTAACCTGACTGTGTCTCAACTTCTACCTCTGTCAGTGTAGACAATAATAGTAACCTACTTTACCGGGCTGCTATGAGGATTATGTAGGTTAGTTTGCACAAAGAACTCAAGTGATGCCTGGCCCTGGTTCAAAATATGTTCTTAATAAGTAAGAGCGGCTATGATGATGATAATGATGATGTTATCTGGTTCCCTGAAAATAAAACCACTGTATCCTGGTCATCCTGGAAGTTAGTTTCCTTGTGGAGGCAGTCCCTGGGCTCTCAGTGAGAAGTAACATCCTCTAATTTATTAAGTTTTTTTTTTTTTTTCCTGTACCAAGGATTGAATCCCGGGTTCCTTAACCACTAAGACACAACCGCAAGCCATTTTTATGTTTTATTTAGAGACAATCTCATATAGGGCCTCACTAAATAGCTGCAGCTGACTTTGAACTTGTGATCCTCCCATCTAAGCCTCCCAAGCTGCTGGGATTATAGGAGTGTGCCATGGTACCCAGCTATTAACTCTTTCTAAGGTTTTAATTTTCTAAGTACAGAAACTCACCTACCCTGAGCCTAGTTCAAGCCTTGCCTGTAGTAGGAACTCAGCACTGCTAGTGAGTAAATGAGAGGGTACTCCTAGCCACAATTTGGATGGTAGGTATTAGGGCAAACAAAAGACACCCCCTGACTTATTAAGACTCACTATTTTACACAGTACTTTCTGGAGTGGATTCTCTCAGGAATAAAACAGTCTGCTGAAACCCTGCTGAGGGCCATTACCAAGTAGGAATGACGCATCGAAATTTCCTTGCCAAGCGTACCCCATGCTGCTTAGAGGACATTTGATGGGACA